AAATACAAATACATTACATATAAAATATATAAGCGCTAATAAGATATAATTAGCAAAACATGACGTTAATAATGTTGAGCATGTAAGAACATTTTTGCGAGTTCTTACCCAAATGAAATATATATATATATATATATATATATATATATATATATATATATATATATATAAATGCTTATGTTTCCTTATTATTGTTCTAAACAATCTCAAGTGTCAAAAATTTGTAAGAAAATATTAAATTCCGGAAAAAATAAACAAGGTTCAAATAATTTAAATGTTAATGATGAACGGGATTATGCATTAAAAACCTGAAAAATTATTGAGTTGTTGTTTCTAAAGTCGCTGCATACCTATGTCCTATAATACTCTATCCAAGTGCTTTTGAATTGCACATTAAAAATCATATCGAGCCCGGAGGATATATTTGTTTCTTGTGGTCGTTGTTTTATGCCGTTTATTACTGTGTATTTTAATTAAATTTCACAAACTTTTGACTGTGAATTATTTATTAGTCTTTGTATTTTGAATATTCCCCCTGAATTTGCTTCCTAATTTTTCCTAAAAGTCTTTGTTATTCTTTCTCAGCGCCAGAAATTTCCGTCGGAGACTCCGGGAACAATAAGAATTAATTGGGAAGGAAATGTGTCTTTATAAATATTCATGGCTGAGGATTAGGATATTCGAGGAATACTTGCAAATCTTATAATTATCTATTTTATACTTTAATGAAAAAATAAAATTAATGCAAACATGTATACAGACTCAATACGGAATATTATATGATAAATACATATGATCTCATAACATTATAGCCCTTCAATAATTATTTATTCACAAGATCATGGTGAATAAATAGTTAAGTTTTGCTATAATAAGTGTTAAAAGTGCTCTTTGATGGTACATATCGAAGTATCAAAACAAAAAAAGAAAATTAATTCATTCATTTTTTAATTCGACTAATTGAATGCTATATGTGTATCAAATATGTTTCAACGACAAAAACAATAAAGATGTGTGTGAGTATATATATATATATATATATATATATATATATTCTATATTATATTTCATCTCCACCTGTGTACAATTAAAATAATTAACTCTGTCACGTCTTGTCTTCTCTCAAAACAATCCATCCAAAAGTAAAGTGCGGGCGTCTCCATCGTATCTATCGTCTGGAGACGTTTCTCCTCACGTCTTCTGGGATTTACAATCTCGTTCACGAGACAAATTATTAGATTTCCAAATCTCGTACAGACATTATTATAGTCGAATCTTATAAATTGAATTTAGATCTTGAATGATGTATATATTTGTTATATATAAGGACAGGTGAATATATAATAATCTCGTGTCTGCTTTGCGACGGACATTTCAAAGAAAATTAAAAGTCAATGCTGGAGACAGATGTAAAAGTACATAATACATTTTTATTTTAGCACTGACTGTGTGTACTTGTTTCATACTAACCAATTGAAAGTTTGTTTTATGAATAAATTTATTATTTGTTTATATATATATATATATATATATATATATATATATATATATATATATCAAAACTCCATTCTTTGTTTTCGATTTTACGACAAAAAAGTCGTTGTAAATATGAAACTTTGTTTTATTCGTGCGCGTTGATTAAAAACAAACTTGTTCGCACAGAAAAGTTATCTCATTAATTTTTGTACCACGATTTATACAGAGCATTGCTTTATACACATTACAAAGGTATACAATGATATTTGATAACATGTTTGTTATTGGAATAGTTTGATTTTAATATTAAATTTCGGAAATACATATCATACGTACAAATACATATATGTATTATATTCATATTCAAGACTATTCAAATATATCTATATAAATGTATATATATATATGTACATTTATTTATTTGTGTGTTTAGTTATATTTTCTCTTGCGATACATACATATATAAAAAATCCAATCAATTCGGTAAGCGAAAGAAATGTCACTTGTATAATTATACTTTTCCGCGGATATTCCACCTTTCCGACATTCAACCCGGCGCAACACCATGATCCAAGTGTGCGGATAGCCGGACGTTTGTACCGAAGACGTCAAAGCAAAGAAATCATAAATGACATTCAAAATTTTGAATGTTTTTACTATTTAAATGTTATTACAATGAAAAAGAATCCTTTTATCATTGCGAATTCTTTACAAATAAAAATTCACAAATAAATACAATTTAAGTTATGTATTTAAAATTAGTTTAAAATGATAAAATATAGGTAGTATTCCATAAAATATTAATAAATACTTATGCATAAAACTATATATATATATATATATATATATATATATATCATTTATATTTTACATTAATTTCTTCACTGGACAAAATTAACGATACCCTCCCCTCGCGTGCTCGATACAAAAATCGAAAATATAAATAAAAGCAATTTACTTAACGAGTAAATTCCTCTTTTTCTCAACGAGAAACGGATAATTCCGGTTCGTTTATCGGAAACAGAAATTCCCATTGAATATATCCTCTGAATATCCGGATATTCGCATGTGTAGATATTTCGAAATAAGCGAAAAGGATGAGACTGGCTTCGTTACTTTGCGAACTGACACTCCATTGAAGCGGATAGGCGGCGAAGAGCCGGTAGAAATGTTATTCAAAACGGTTTGAATTTTTTATGGTAAAAAATATATGCTTTGATTTTTTCAAATATTTGGTTTAATGTTAAGCATACCTTAAACAACCAATAAACATAAACTTGCTGAACAGTTAATTTTCAACCTTAATAATTAAATCGTATTGATTCAAATTATTTATTTGAGAATTTGTTGTTGCAGCACGCTCTTTGAAAAATGATACATTAGCTCAATAAAAAGATTGTTGTACAAAGAGTGATGTCCTGCTAAGTTGTTCAATATAATGGCATTTAATTGACGTTAAGTATACATAACAAATTTTATTTCAATTCTTTCAGTTTCGATTGTAAAAAAATGCGACCGAAGTGTTATTTATATAACACACTTTATTTAATTTATTATTTGTTTGTCAATTATGTTCCAGTGTTTGTTTTTCTGCCAGCGGTACGTCTATATCGAAAAATATCTTCAGGAATATTCGAACATGCAAAACGTTTCCGACTCATACACCAGTATATTTCCTCTTGGGTAGAATATGTAAATGTGCAGTGCATGTATGTATGTATATATATAAATATATACGTATGTGTATATACACAAAGAAATTCATGTTTTTTCTCTCTTGAATAAATATATTGCTAGGGTTTTCCTCGCTGATGAGCGATCAAAGCCTTTCTTTAGTATAATACAAGCAAGAGGAGCGATTGTGTTTCTTCAAAAGGAACTGCCTCTCTATACCGTCTCTTACATGGATATTATTATAAGCCCGAGGGCTTCTTTCGAATGAAATGCACTCCTTGTGAGAAATATGTTGATGTATATGCACTTTTACGGTAAATCCAAAGAATATAGTTGATGGTATGCATATCGTATGCATGATCAGACTTATATATATATATATATATATATATATACATATATATATATATATATATATAATATATATAAATATATATATACATATATATATACATATATATATATATATATATATATACTCGTATATATATAAAATTTCAAGAAGTCAGATCATATAGTAAAATATAAATAATTATTTGTTTTTTAAATCGAAACCGACAGTCTGCACACTCAACCCTCTTCTAATCGTTGCCGTCAGGTTAAGGGTCGGATAGACCAAATAACTACAAAAAAAATAATCATGAGGGAAATTATTAGTGTGATTACTACATAGTTAAGAACATAAATGCAGCATATGCGTATATTGTTTACTGAAATTTGCAATACTTGCTTTGTGATCAATGAATATGTATATTGTTCAAGGGTTCATTAAAAATATTTATAGACTCAAAAAATGCAATTAAAATCTATGACTTCATTTTTACATAGAACTGGATTTACGTAAAACAAATGCGAGACAACCTGAAATTGAACGTTGCGCTGGTTGACTATCGGAAAAGTGAAACGGCGGCGGAAAAGCTTAACAACACAATTAAAACGTAAGGCAATCTCCTGAAAATGATGATAAACTTTTGCAGTACAATTACTCGTGTGACAAATACTGACAATCAATCGAGCCATTCACCAATTATCAATATATTCTTTTATCCGTGGTTTTCAGTATAAATCAAGTACTTTCGCATTACGAATTCCGAATCAGTGACTTTATCTCTCTCATGGATAAATTATCGAACTTAATTAAAAGCCTTTCAGATGGGAGAAGAATATAAAATAGGCGACGAATAAATTATTCATTCGGCTTTCGCCTAAAGTCAACTTGAATCGATTGTTAGAGTAGAAAGCTCGCGGGCTTTTTGGCCGAAGTGATTTTAAATGACACACACACACACATATATATATATATATATATCATTTATAAAAAAGTTCCAATTAAATCGAATCAGAACAAATTTCAAGATAACAAGTGCATGGTAGAGTCCAGAATATTTATTCTCCTCTATGTGTTCACTGAGCTATTCTAGCATATCAGACAAAGTTCTAGGTGATTTAGTTTAGTATATTTTTTAAAAATGTATTATTTACAAATAGTTTTAACGCTCTGATATAATAAATAAATGTAATATCAATCGCAGGAAAAATTATAATTTTTATTTGCATTAATTGCATTTGCATTAAATAATTGCATTTATTTATTATATCAGACTATAGTATACTATAGTATCAACCATAACAAATATTGGCGATATCACATAGATTAGTTACGTAATGTACAGAACAATATCTATGTACACTGTACATATATTTGTTATATTTGAATATTTGTTATGGTTGAATCTACTAAGGTTTCCTCCGCGATCTAATGATTAATATTCATCACAGTACATTGTACACATATGTTTATATTCTCATTTTTTGAGTATCTTGGTTTTTATCCGTTCTCTTTTATTCAGGAGCAAAGTGGCGGCGCTGCTTCTCGATAAACACCTCCAAATCAACGGCATTTCCGTGGACGGGGTGATGAGAGGTCGCGACAGCGTTCATCTGGAGCCGATCGCCAGCAATAAGATGCGAAGGGAGAGGAAGGCGGCCAGGACTTTGGGCATCATCATGTCCGCCTTTCTTGCTTGCTGGTTACCCTTTTTCTTGTGGTAAGTAGATAAAAGAATGTGATAATCCTGGATCGAATTTTTAGTTTTATATAAATGATAAATATTATACTTGTGGAATTTGGTAGATTCTTGTATTCGTGAATGTTGTGATCGTCAAATTGTAAATACTGAAACTTGAGATTTTAAAGGGATGGATTTAGAGAATTTGAATAGTAAGATATTGTATTTCAAAGACATCGATTTTGGGACACTAAATTTAGGAAGTTTGGATTTTGTGATTCTAGGTTTTAAGGGGCACAACTAGTGTGAAATATCCAAAAAATCGAATTTTAAATTTTTCCATATTTCGATAGGTTATATCTTTAAAAATAACATACCAAAATTTTAAATCGATATCTTAATTAGTTTTTGAGTTACAGCCATTTAAAAAGTATATATATAGTATATAGTATAACGATCATTTAATCTTTAAACGCGTTTTTCTCGAAACAGCATTTTCCGAATTTGCTGCAGCGATTACTCAAAAACAAATGATCCGATCACTATCAATTTTTTTTTACATGTTTTATATATAGTTCTCCGTAAAATGAACTATCGATTTTTTGATCGGATCAAAAATCGAATTTTGGCAGTCCAAAAAGGACCAAAATTTTGGGTAAAATTCGTTTTTTTCTAAAACGCCGTCATTTTGTCAATTTTTGATTTTTTTTCTTCATCGTAGTTCATTTTACAGACAATATTATCTAGTTTAACGAGATTTTTTTTTTTAATTCATCCACGTAGAGGGCCGGAATCACTGCAGCAGTTAAGGGCCTTTTTTTGTCGTGCCTTTGGAGATCAACGATAACTTCAAAAATATTTAATTTTTTTCTTCAAAAATTTTACTATGTATTCTTAAAACATGTATAAATATATTCCTAAAATTTTGAAATGATTGATGTAGTAGTTTTTTTATTATAAATTCCCAAAAATCACCTATTTTTTAGGCGGTTACACTAGTTGTGCCCCTTAAAACACTATTTTTGAAAGTCTTGTTATGTTACAAAATACATACATGAACACACGCACACACATATAATTGAAATTTATAATCAAAAATTTTACTATGTATTCTTAAAACATGTATAAATATATTCCTAAAATTTTGAAATGATTGATATAGTAGTTTTTTTAATATAAATTCCCAAAAATCACCTTTTTTTTAGGCGGTTACACTAGTTGTGCCCCTTAAAACACTATTTTTGAAATTCTTGCATTTGAAGCCTATTTTGAACTTGAAGTTTTTGAAATTCATAAAAAAAATTGGATAGAAGAAAATTTTAAACTTCGAATAGTTTTAAGAACTCATCTAACTATAGTAATTCAACCATGCATCACTTTTTTACTCTTCTCCCCAGGTATGTAATAACTTCCCTCTGCGGCAACGACTGCTATTGCCCTCAATGGGTGGTAGCCGCCGTCTTCTGGGTCGGCTATTTCAATTCGGCCCTGAACCCGATAATCTACGCTTATTTTAATCGAGAATTCAGGGTTGCCTTCAAAAAGACGATCAGGTCTTGCTTTTTGTTCGCCTGCTGCGTTAGACGCGGCGGGACTACCGATCTCGATTACGGGGGCGCTAATGAGGGCTTCAGGAGGACTGGGGATCAGATACAGATGCACTCGACTGCGAGCTCGGAAGTCCAGATGAACTGTGTTAGGTTATACAGCGAACCATAAGGAGTTACATAAGAAGAAAAACACAAAATTTAGAGCTCTCAAGTTTTAGAAACTCGAATGATGCGAACATCTGTACTAAATGTGGCTGTTGACAATATTGGCAATTCATATTTGGAATTTTAGATTTCCAAAATTTTGGATTTGAAATTTTAGTTTTTGATAATTTTCATTTTGAAATCACTAGGATTCCACTATCCACAGATTCTCAAACTTTAGAATACACAGACTTTGCACCACAAAGAATTTGAATATACAATGTTGAAGAACCGAAATCGAAATCGAAAGCACCTCATATTTTCGAATGTTTTGAGATATCAGATTTGGATTTTTTTTTGAAATTATATTTTTTATTTTTTGCAATATTATTATTAAAAATTTTAATTATGAATTGTCAACGTTTTAAACGCCAATATTCGAAAATCCCAAAATTATAATTTAAGAAAATTAAAAACGATCTAAGTAGATAGAAATATTTTACACAATTTGTAATTATGCAAAAATTACTAATCGAATATATATAAATATATATATATATATATATATATATATATATTCCAGTAAAAAATATGTATATCGTTCTACATCTCTCCAATAAATTCAAATGGGGATCGATCGATCGTTCATAAATAGCTTCATGCATAAAAAAGTAACGACTCGAGGAATAATCATAATAAAAATATTATCATCATCGTTTATTGTTATTCGTTTCCATTTATTGCGCAATTCATAAAGGAACTAACTGGGACAATCGGTAAATAAAAATAAAATGAATACACAAACGACATTAATTGACCAATAAACAAATATAAATATATGGCGAAACTGGATTTTTCGTAAAAGTATGCAACTTATTGTAACCAGGCTATAATAACCCGAGAATATTTTCTGCATTGCTTTCATTTAAGTAATAGACTGCACTGGCAAGCAAAGAAAATATCAGTTAACTGGCCTAAGGCCTTTTCCAACTGATTTGTTAAAATTTTATTAAAAATGTTATAAAATAATCTATTTTTTCTACTGAGAAGCATTATGAATCTTGCTGAAAAAATATATAAATTCAAATATATCGGCCTAATTTATATCTAATATATCTTTTAAAATCTCATGACAATTACAAAAAGGCGATTTTTCTGACCAGCGCACTGTAAACCTTTCAAATACTGTTGAATTTATTTTCAAATTAACACACATTGGCCTAAATACTTTTTCTAACAATTATAAAAAAATACAACCTGGTCCTAAAATAATTTATGTAACAATTATAAAAAATAGAACTCTGCTGACGAGATAATATTTGGGTACTTCTATATAAATTTTAAAATTAACGCATTTGGCCTAATCGTTTTCCTAATTAAATGACTAAACTTTATTAAGTTCTCTGAGTTTCATCAATAAGAGAACTGAGTACTTCACAAATATCGTACAGAACTTATATTCGATATACTTATAATGTTTGATCAATTAATGGATTTCAAACTAATCATTTAATCCAAGTTCTCGCTGTAGCTATTCACAACTTATATAAACTGTAGTTCAATGATTAGAAAAATAGTATTTATTTTATAAAGCTGACAATACGAAGACATATCACTTATTTCAATTACTCGACATATCAATATTTAACTATCTATCGACTAAACTATAATATTATTATATATTTTACACCTATATTAACTTGTATTAGACTATACGATACAATTCTGGTAAAAATTATTTCTCGATATGTGCAACAGAAAATGACAAAAAACGAATCCAATTACTATTACTATTATTCAATTTGTAAGTATATATATATATATATATATATATATATATGTATATACATCTAAATATACATACATATATGCCCTACATGTAAATATGATATTATAAGAGTATATTATAAATTTAAAAAAGCTAATATATATGTACATATTTAAAATGTTAATATAATACATAACTATTTTTAAGTTTAAACATATAAGCATATACGTAATATAGATTTTAAGATGGAATAATTGTAAAATGTAATTTTCAAAAAGTCAGAATAGCAATACGTAACAGTTACAAAAACTGTTTGCATATATTATGAAACAGTAACTGTAAATGTGAACTAACATTGATTGTAACAAAACCAGTGTGATAAATATTTCGTTTGAATTTAATTTTAAATTATTATTCTTCATCAGCAACATTTTTTATTCAATTTTTTGCTTACTTTATCCTTTTGATGACTTAAATGTATTACGAGAAACTATATATGAAATAGGCATTGGTCAGAAGTTTAAAAGTATATAAAAATCAAATATAGAAGATTAATCAGAACACATGACATTTTGTTGTGATATATTTTGTAAAGATAGATGTAATTAACATAATGTATTATGTAAGATAATTAATTGATGAATTATGTGGAATATTCGATGAGAATTTATGCTAGCCGAGACATAATGAAAGGTTTGATAGCATCTCAAACTATCACAATTTTAATTAAAATATTTTATATGCATATGAATATATATATATATATATATATATATATATATATATATATTATTGCATATTGTGTATATTTAATTTATGAAAATATTCTCGCTTCTACTAAACCATGGAATGTGATGAATTATATAAGGAAGTTTATAGTTTTTTTTAGTAAATAAGTGTTGAAAGAATGATGTACTAGTGATTTATAATTGGCATTGATATTAAATAATTCTCATAATGTTACCAAAGATATTTAAAAAATTTTGTTATGTTTGTTATTAAGTATAAATCAAAATATATAATACTCGTTAAAATCTAAACCCAAATAATATATACAATCATACATATACATATAATATATATATATATATATATATGTGTGTGTGTATGTTATGATTTATTGTAAACGTCAATCTATTAAAAAGTGAACCAATCCTTCCTAAGACGACAAATCATATAAACCTAAAAAAAATAGATTATAAAACTGTAAGAATTAAATAGATATATCAACCTAAAGAATTTAAACATAAATGTTCAATGTGAGACCAATTGGAAATATATAAAATAGTTATACTCTTTTATACAGATTTTCAATCAAATTCTTAATTTCAATTGTTTTTATACCTCAAGCAAAAGCTTTGCGAATAACATATAAATCATAACTACTTCGTCTATTATATGATGTTGTAGACTATACTTAATGAACACTTGCAGAAGCTTTTAATGTTTAATATATGTGGTTATACAAGTACTTATATTCTTTTATCATACAAGAGATTTTGTTTTAATATAAACTAAAAATTATTAAAAATATCACGTTTAAGATTAAATATTAATATATGCATACATACACATCATAATAAGTATATATAGTAAGAATACCTGGTCTCGATAATTCCTCAATTATTAAACACACACTAGAATTTTTTAGAGACATAACTACCATTTTTAATATTTAAATTCAAACAAGTTTATTATATTATAAGAGAGCTTAACAAATTCAATAATACATTAGTTATACTTTCAAAAATATAAACGCAATCACTAATCACATTTATAAATGTATCGAGACTAGATACACTTAATGTTACAAAATACATACATGAACACACGCACACACATATAATTGAAATTTTAATTATAATTTAATTATAATTAAAATCCAACGTACCTTGTCTGAATACCATTCATTGTGTTATAATTGCACTTTTTGTTTTGAGACAACTATTTTCATTTAAATTGATATAAATCTTGCGTCAAGTGACATTTTCTGTGACACCCATAAAATTTTCTTTATTTTTATCTATTTTTAAATTTACATGATGTTTGTTACTGAACACTTTATAGTAAACATGTATGTCAATACATAATATTTAAATAGGTTATGTAAATAGGACAAAATAGGATTAACATAACATAAATAAATATAAATATATGTGTGCGTTAGTATATATATATATATATATATATATATATATAACTGTGCGCGTGTGTGTTAAGCATTACTCAAAATTTATTTGATGCACTTTTGACAACTTACGAAATCTATTTTGCGCAAATTTCCATAAAACCAGTAATAGTAACTTTTATTGAATTATCTATGGTTAAGAGCATTTTTTCACTTCTAAAACGCTTATCCAACACGTTTATTATTAATAATTATAACTTTTTCAGTTTTTTTTAACTAAACAATTGTTATTATTTATCGTACTGTGTTTTCGTCCAGAATTTGTGTTGAAGACGGAAGTGTAAGTGTTACCCGATTCTGAATATCCTGAAGGGTTACCAGATGCGGACAAAAATACATTTTGACAAACATGTTAACGATTGTTGTTCAGAAACAATTATAAATTTAGTTTTTAAATACTTATAAATACACAGTGTATATATATAATTGATTTTATAATGAGACTAAATTGCAAGTGTTTGGATGACACATTTAAATATTCGAATCTACAAACTAGACACCAAAGAACGTGCAAATTTATATTTGCATAAACAGGTGGAATGTAATCAAGTGACAGTTACCATTTTAAAGACACGGCCAAGAATATCTGTACGCGCAGTTTATATGGTAAGTTTATACAAATGTCTTGCAGCAAAAAGCAACCATTTTATTTATCAAATAGTTAAAGCAATTTCATATATATTTTCGTATAATTCGTTCTCTATTTCGCTCTCTCTATACCTCAATCAATCACCTCATCTCCCATTCATACGACTTAGTATAAATATACTTGCTATCCTTAAACTAAAATGTTTATTCTCTCTAAACTAGATTTTATTATCAGTACATCATCCCCGGGTGGAGACCTGTTGATCCCCTTTGAAAGTACACATTAGGATTACTGCTTAATGTTTGTTCCAAGGATGTATAAACATTGCTATCATCTGGACGCATGAAGAGACCTAAATAAAGTTAATACTTAAGTATTAGAGCACAATTAAAAGTAGGTATTATAGATTACTATGGTCAATGCTTTGCTGAAATATTCATAAGTTGACAATGAAGTTTTGATATTTACAAATTTATTGAGACAAATTTAGTGGTTGCTTTGTAATGTGGTTTAATTTAAAGAAGAGCGTTTGAATGGATATTGTCAAATGAATTTATCGCTGTGCATTGATGATTATAATGTTTTATTTGTTAACCAAAAATAATCATGCTGCTTTATATATATATATATATATATATATATATATATATATATATATATATATATACATTTATAGTATATAGAGTAATACATTTCAAAGCAAACCTACATACTCTGCCCTTTGATAAAAAAAAGTACAACATGCATTACCAAGCCTTAGTTGAACTAACATGCCTTTGAACAAGATGTCTCAAAGCAATAAATTTATTACAATTAATATTTCTTGGATCTAACTAAAAAACATTGTTTGAACATCACAGAGCAGCCAAAGAGGATCCAATTTTGAAGAAACATATTTCAGATATGTATATAGAAGCTGTATTCTGCCAAAACATTGTTTCTAAAAATTGTGTAGTGTTTATTCATGGTATTTTGGATCAAAATATAAATTTATTTTTCAGACATCTTGTTTTTAATTTATAAATAGTAAAACAAAGAAGCTAAAACGAGTAAATGTAACAACTGTTAGACATTAATCCAATACTTAGAAATAAATGAAGATTTTGAGTATCTGAAAAAGTAAATAATGGTTCCATTACACTGAGAATCTCTTTGGATTTTACTATAATTTTTCATCAATTAATAACCTACTCAAAAAATCCAAAAAAATATCACTGTGCATGAATATACAGAAGAGTCAATTATCATCGGCCAGAAATCTACAAAGAACTAACTCTACTTCAAATATTGTTTTCTCCAGACCTGGATATCTTGGCAAATAGCAAAACTGTGCTGCATAATGTAGCTGATGATTAAACGGTTGCTGATGAATCAGACGCTGCTGATTCGGCTGGAACATCGGTCGATACACTCTCTTGTAACTCGGAGGATAAGGCGACAATGGCGCGCCCACGAGCTCTGAAAATGTCTCTTATATTTACACAAGAGGGGACACACCTTGGACCAATTGGATGTTAACGTAAATGAAATGACTGTTTTTCGATTCAAGTATGATAGAATTGTGGCTGTGAGGTCTGGTCAAAAAGTATCGCAAATTAAAGAAATATTACTGAGATCAACTGAATTTTAATAGTAAATTATCTTGAATTTAATATGGAGAGTATTATAGAGATTTACTTTCATATGCCATCGCTTCATAAAATTCTTTGGCATAAAACAAACAAAAGAGTTTCTCAAGAGAAATGACATCTTATATTTCCGATACTTTTCATCAGACTAATTGCTTCACTTATCATCATGAGTAAATCATGATTTATGGCCAATGTGCGCAAAAAGCTGAAAAAGCGCAGGATGACATTTCCAGTGCTTTGTATGTTACAACATTTGTGCCCGTTACAACATTTATATTTACAAACAAACACATAAATTAGAACCTAATTTTTTGACAACTTCTAGTACTATTTCTCACCATGATGTTGCGCCTTGGACGCGACCACTGCATCAGCAGCACACATTCCTGGTCCGTACTCCAAAGGTTTAAAATGAAAGAAGCTGGGCGCATAACCGGACGCAGTTGTCCTACTAGTGGTGCTATACGCATGCATACCATGATCCACCATGGCACTGCCTTCGTCTCGACCCAAAGCTGCAAGTTGGCGACCTTTAGGTGCATACATGACGATAAAAACAGAAAATGCTGTGGCCACTAGACCAAAACCCAGACATCCATCCCTGTGTCGATCACTGGCTACTGCTGCGCCACCCAGGGACCAGGATAGCCAGATTGGCACCACGCAACCTATAGCAACACCTAGAAATAATTGAAACAACACTTGAAATTTAATTTCTGGTTTATCGTTTCTTTTGCATGTTTCACTCACCAATATATGATGCTTCCCGGTAGTTATCGCGGATACCTCTAGATTTGACAGCCAGTACCGAAACGAAGATGATAAGGAAGACGACGTACACCAGGGATGCTAGGAGATCGGAAAATGGTGTCCTACACAAGGTATAAGGTGCGGTTAAGGATATCGAACCAGATGTATCACTAGATGTGATACTCCTGCTCCGACCTTGGGATATTGGAGTCAGTTGAGGAAATACTTCCACCTGTGATACAAAAATGCTCTTAGCAATTTGAGATTTAGCAAATTAAACTAATAATCAATTTTATATTCTTTGGCTTGAATATTATTTATCCAGTATCTAACAGACATTTGACAAAATTTTGCATTCACATACCTGCGGTGGTGTCGTGATGAGCCATTGGGTTCCTATCGCAATCTAAAACAAAAAAATATCAAGTATCAAGTATCAAGGCCAACACTAAATAGTACTTATTATTTGTTACCTGTATTAGGACAGCAAACATAAGCAACAACCCTTGATAAGGTGCGGGTAAATAGACTCCTGCGTTCAAACTAATCAAGAAGACGCATTTAACCAGCAAAGCCGCAAAAACCAAAGCACAAGAAACTCCTGCCCCGAAACGAATAGCAGCACATGTTAACGGCGTAGGAACTGCCGCCAGCAAAGCTCCTAGTCCACTACAACAGAACAGACCAAGGAGCAGCATCTGACCAAGGAAGAGGTGTCTGCGACTCGGTGCTGTTCTCCAAGCCTTGCACAGGACAAACACCTAGGAAAAATGACATATAATGTGATGAAGCTTATGACATATAATATAAAATATATGGAAATATATTGAATATGGCACCTCAAACGCTGCCATTAAGGTCATGGCTAAGGCAGCGGTGACCAAAAGAGGGACTGCCCATGGTTCTGGTCTAAGGGCTCCTCTTGTCCGTTTATTTGTTGTAGATCCATTCCCAGGTATAGGTATCGTGGAATTTCCGCCAAATGACTTGTTTGATAAATTTGGTCGTTTCGCGACAACTAAGACACTTGGTTCGATTGGGCGCATACTACTACTCCTGAAAAAATAGTTATAAAAATACCGTCCTGTCTTTGTTCATTCATGAATTATCTACCTGGGTATAACAAAAAACTCCGTGCTCATTTCCAGACGATGTGGTGAAGCAGTTGCTACATTCTGGGATGCTGCTGGAAATTCTTCGACAACCTCTGCAACTGCGGTAGGTTCTCCTGCGTCATCTGGCGTTAAAGAAATCGCTTCTCGTCGTCTTGGACGTAAACGGTCGCCAAATTTGGGGATGGTTATATTGAAGTTTGCCAAAGACTAATTGGAAAAAATTTTTATGGTAACAAAATTATTATAAAGGTTATTTGTGTTTAATTATTAACCTTTATTTCCTCGGCTTGACTGCTCCATACTGCGAATGTTGTTAAAAATAGTAAAAGTATCTTCAAATTGCTGATCCTTGGCATCCTTTATCGAAAAAAATTGCGGTCCATCACAAAAAAGTCGAGTTGATTGAATTCAGTAATTCGCAACACATGGTTGGCTTTAAACTTGGTCGCGAACTTCTGTAAAATTATATGCACTCTTTACACTGAACACAGCCAGATAAAATCTTTTATAACACAGTGCTGTTAAAAGACTTATTAACTTAAGTATTTGCTATCATTATGTTACTTTAAGGAATAATAATACCACTAAATAAAAAGATCGTAGTAAAAACGGTGCGTTCTGCAGAACTCTTCCAAATTATCAAATATCTGAGAGTCAATCTATAAATTGTCGTTAATATCGACACTTACACATGGAACACCATTTCACAGGAACTTTAATAACTCAAAATATTTATGGAAAAATTATCAATTTAAAGAAAGACACTTAAAGAAAGAATATGTCCACATTACAAAGTTGCATGCGACAATGCTCCATGCACAGCTTGAAAAGAATTTATACCGCAGACAACTTTTAGAATTCGTATGTTATTAATAGTACATTTGTACAAAGTCTTTAATTTTTTTATTACCATATGAAACGTCATCTCGAAGTGCTAATAACGTGCTATGGGGTACTAAAACAAAATCTAGTTAAGTTAAATTTTTTTAGACTTTTAACAATTGAATTAAACCTCAGGCGAAGGCTCCTATGGGGGCGTCTAGTTCTATTCTGCATAGACGGCTAAAGGTTGATTACCTCTGAATCGTGACTTTCCGTCGAATTCCTTCACCGAGTCTCTCTTTGTTTATTGTTTAGTACTGTCCACATTTTATTACGTCGTCGTAAACATATGCAACAGAAAAGGCATAAGTAATATTATGTCCAGGAAATTTTATAACCAGGAAACTGCGCCTAGAGACATACCAGAGGAATAGACCGACAGACCGACAAACAGACAGACAATGTTGCATCACGAGACGACTATAATATACGAGAATGCAAACATTAAATTTTATACGTAGGTGTTTAAATTTCTTGTTGCTAAACGTTAACTTCTAATGCATATTGTAGGCATGCCGAGTTACTGTAGGATCTTTTGTTGTTCGTTTAAATTTATAGATCATTTAATTTTGAACACGTTTGAACACACTTAAACATTATTCATACTCATCGAACTGTTTATTAATATGAAAAATAAATGCACTTTCAGTTGCGTATTTGACGTACAAGTATTTTGTTGAAAGCGTCCAAGGAGCGCTGCAGAAGGCACCGTTTGGAAGAAGATCTTGAAATTACATTCTATTGTTCCTTAAGGTGCTATAATACTTTGAATTATAAATTATTTCATCTAATTGCATTGTAAATGTGAGTCCCGAATCATTGGTATTTTGAAAGAGCTCTACAGGACGCTAATTTGCAATTTGGATATATCATTTCTAAGCTGTCTGAAACAAGGACGTGTGATAAAATCGAATGGTTTTCTCATAACATTTTGAGTTTAAAGGCAACTACAACTTTGAAATTCACTTATATTATTCTTCAAGGTGTCTATCACAACAGCAAATAATAAAACTGACGACTTTGAAATAAAAAGTATGAGTTATTTTAGATTATCGCACTTGCAGAATCTTATCTTCTTCGAATCTTTGTTGCGACGACAAAATCGCTTTTAATTTACGACCTCTTCGACTCTGACAGACAGACATTGTCGTTAACTCTATTATTTATTGCTTAGGTGAAAAAAGACGAGAGACGAGTAGACGATTGAATCTTCGCTCCAAGGGGGCCCCCTCGGACCTCCTGGGACCCGCTCTGTCGCGTTGGAGTTTATTACAATGAACGAATGGTGTTCCTGTGTGTGTGCGGTGCAAACTTTTGTGTTTTTGTGTTTTAATACTTTTGTGTTGGTGCTATCCAGTCCGGCTGGTTTATAAGGTCTTTTGCCCTTCGCCCACAACCGGCGATAAAGACTATTTCACACCAGGTTCGGTACGAAAGCGGCATCGAGACAGTCTTTATGAAATCGTCGATTTATTCATGCATTTGCTTATTGCTGCAAATTTCAAACTTGATCAATTTGTTTGATGCAATTTGATTTTTTTACAAGTTTATTAAGAATTGAATATAAATTATACTCTGATTATGGTGTAATAACAGAGATTAGTATAAAATTAAATTATTCATATTTTTTAATAGTACTTACAATTTGCGATAAAGTACTTACAATTTGCTTCTCGATGAGGTTATTTCAATGAGGTTATTGTGTATTTTTATTTATTTATATTTTTTTTTATTTTATTTTTTTTTATTGGCCTGGCTTACTCGAGCATTTAGCCACCTACAACATATTTAGAATTCAATACTATCTTCATGTTCATATTATTTTCATTATATAAATCCTATTCTTCTTTCTATTTTATATTCTATGCTATTCTATGTACTCTTTCAACGTAACTTCATTCTTCTCTTTATTATCTATCATTGAATCTTCTATCTTCTTACGTCACCATTACTTCTATTCAATTTAATTTTTATTCTCGAATCTTTAATTCTTAACTATTTTTAATTCTATTTCAAACTACTTTTTACATCATTTCAAAATATTTTTAACTTTATTTCAAATTATTTTTTTTAACAGTATTTTTATATTTTGCCGGGGATTTGACCTCCGGCACGTGAGTCGGGAACGCTACTCATGAGCTAATTCCGCCACTAGTATAACATTCTATAGGAACTCTGTTTACTTAAAATAGATGAAAATAGATAATTGAATTTGAATTCCTCAGCAATAGTCGATTGCTTGAATTCATTGCTGAGCATTTATTCATACATAACATTGATTCATTATAATTCTTACAACTTTTAAACCATTCCAATGGTTGTAAAATTATTAGTTCTACAATTTCGCAATTCAGAAATATTATTCTTCAAAAAAATCAAGAAGTTTTCTCATAAAACTTTGGAACTCAATAAATTTTATTAAACTCGCCTTTGTGTTTAAACTATACTTTATGACATTTGTTCAAGGAGCTTCACGGACCTTTGGACCTTTTGTAATAAAACCTTGTATTTTGAGTATGTTGTTTCCCAAAGTATCTACTTGGGCAACAAATTCCGAATTAAAAGGTTTTCTTGCAACCTTTTGAATTTGAATTTTTGAACGTTAGTCTTTAGGTGAAATATGCCTCGTATATTTGACATAATCAAAGAGCTCTACAAGAAGCGTATCACTCCTACTACTGCTTTGTATTTCGGCTATATCGATCCTCAAAGTGTTTATTGAAACAACAAATACTAAAATTAATAACTTTTTTCTTATAAATATAAGATGTCTTCATCGGTGTGCAGACATCTCACATCTCCTTTGCTCCTACCTCTTCTTATTGCCTTCTCCTCCTTCTCCTCCATGGCTTTGTACGCGTTATTTTTCTTTTCTTTCGCGTCTTTTTTGATTTCTCTCCTCGATTAGTTTCGCCATAAAGAAAATAATAAAAACAAAAAAGAAAAAGGCATTGGCTCCTTTTGTATGCTAAACGTGCTCGTTTGAGTCTCGAACGTATTAACTACGCCACGGTGGAACACAACAAAGGAACTGAGGAGGCCGAGGAGGCCGAAGAGGCCGAGAGAAGATTAAAAGAAGAGAAAAAGGATCCGTGGATAAAAAATCAAATAAAACGAAACACGAAACGACCGAGCACGCATTTAGACAATGGCAAAGAGTTCAGACAAAACGCTTATTATACTCGCATGGAACACGAGTGAAGAGCTGCTAGTGTAAGGCACGGAGTGCCCCAAGGCAAATGACAAGGACTACGTAATTAGAATTATTAATTTGAATATTCAGACACTTCAAAGATACAACAGAGCCAATTTTACGCCACGTTTTGTGGAGCTCGTTTACTCTAATGTTTAATTAATTTTCTATACATGTCAAATGCAGCATTTGATTAAAGTTTATACACTTTATAAAATGTATTATGTTACAAGAGTTCGTCCTGTAAAGCTCTTCAAAAAGATGAATCATTTAATAGTCAATTTTTAAAATGAAATTGTCTATAGAACACAATTGGATAATTTTTTTTATTGCTATAAAGTTAATAATAAATTTTAAACTCTAAGTTTATAACATGCACCTTGAGAGATATCAAATTATAGAGCGAACTATGCGTTCTGTACAGCTATTTTAAAATATCAATCATCTAACATTTCACCCAATGATTATCGTGATATACATTTATATTACACTTTTAGTAGAAACAGTGCGTTCTGAAGAGCTCCTCAGAAACGAATGATGCAGATGTGCGGTTCATAGCACAGTATGAATCACGAGCGCGGGTTTAGTACAATCTTTTATAACTCAAAATTTGATGAATTGAACATCTTTCACTTTTGGTTTTTGTTTTAATGATAGACAATTTGATAAATAATATATTCGAAATTTGATATTGTAATGCAGATGATGCAACCTGTAGAGCTCCCAGAAAATGACATATAAGAGCGAAGAATTTGTAAATCAAAGTAATTTTTGTTATAGACGACATTTTAAGAAATGATATATCTAATTTACAAGGTGTAGTTCATTAGATCATAATTTTATACAATTGCATTGATTAATGTATACTGGTGATGAGAAGAACCTTAGTGTGGAATCATTTGTGAATACCTTTTAGTGCAAAAACGAGTATATTGTGTTCGTATTATTCACATATGTATATTTATATCATTTTTCCCTTTCGAATGAAAACAATTCTTCAATAGCAATAAATTAATGTCATTCCAATGTTTATTATCGTTTTTAATTTTGTGGGAAAAACTTTCCTCTTTAAAAAAGGGAAACTGTTCTGAAGACAATGAATAAGATGATAATTCTACTTCTTCATGTGAACCTATATACAATGTAGAATGTGTAATAATGAAGCAGGAGGAGGAGCAGCAGAAGAAAATTATAAAGAAAACAAAAATAATGTATGTTATTGTGAGACGTCCTCGGGTCAGGCAGGAGGAGACTATAAAGCGTGTGCATTGTTCTAGAACTGAACTAGTGGTGTATGATATCGATTTGTAATCTGATAACTTGATATTTTCAAGAATAACAAACAGTGCATTCTGTAGGGTTTCTTAAATAGAAATTGAA